GCCATCGTATACAACGAGAACGCGCGCGGACAATAGCTGACCTTTGATAGGGCCCGACCCGCATTTAAACACGAAAGACACGCCGAACCAAACGAAGACGCGTAACGGCACGTGGTCCTCCTCCTCTGTCGTCCTCCACATCCCCAAGCCTTCAACGGCGTGTTGCTTGCTGTCCTCGCACGATGCGGGCACCCTAAGCTCTCGCTCCCCTTTCCGGGACATTTTTGGGGTGGCGCACGCATGCCCAAGTTCAAAGAAACACTTGCAGGGATAAGGCGGAGGTATGAGATGGGGTGCCATCGGGGGGGACGATCTTACACAATCCCTGGGTGCGAGGCCGTGGTGGCTTTCCGCGGTGTGCACTGAGTATGAACACCTAGAGAATACCTCGAAGCTGAATGCCTCTGGAAACGACGCTCCCACTCAAGCGCGGGCTCCACTCAACATGTGTGCTGTTGAAGGCCCCCGCTCGATCCATCCTCGTAGTTTACTCCTGGACGCCCTGGCCAGGGAAGCCAGGCCCCCCTAACACAGGAACGGCGCTCTGGCTCGAGAACTCCTCGAATGTTGCTCAAAGTGCTGAAGGCTCAGCTACGGCGACAAGGGCTCCAACGAAACGCGCCCTCGCAATTGATTCGAGACGCCCTGGCTAGAGAGGCCCTCGAATTCATAACTTACTCCGAGACGACCTGCGTAGACAGGCCCCCGAACTCAGGAACGGCGCTTTCGCTCGAGAAGTCTTCGCAACTCACCCGATGTGGTCCAAGCCCCGCTGCGACAACAACGGCTCCCGCTCGATACGTCCTCGCAGTTGACTCAGAGACGCCCTTGACAAAGAGATCCCCCAACCCACACACGACGCTCTGGCTCGAGACTTCCTCGCAATCCACTGAGGTTGGTGAAGGCCAAACTACGACGACAACGGCTCCCGCCCGATACCTTCTCCCAACCTACTCGCGCGCGTCCTGGTCATACGCATTATTGCACTGAGAAGCGGCGTTCTTGCCCGAGACGTCCTCACAATTCATTCGATGTTGTGATAGCGCAATGAAGACGACAACGGCTCTCGATCGAAATGTCCTCACATCCTTAGAGGCCCCCAAACCCAGGAACTGCGCTCTCTACCAATACGCTCGCAATTCACTCAAGTTGATGAGTTGCCCGCGGGCGCGTTGCTTCGCATGACGGCCATGGCGGCGCGGTGCCGCACGGAGTGCACTGCTGAATGTTTCTCCCAGGTGCTGGTATGAGAAGAAAGCCTCCTAGAAGTGAGTTGGTTCATGAACTTAATGGCCGGGCATAGCGGAGTGTGAGATAACATAATCGCAAGAAGATCGTAGTTGATGTTCTTGTCGTGGTTGACCCACCCGCGACATGTTTTTTCTCCTATTAGCGCGCAGGAGCCCAGCGGCAAGGCGGGGACAAAGAGAAGGGGGGGAGGGGCGGGAGGCAAAGGGGGAACAACACCGGCCGCGCCGCCGCCCTCGGGGCGGCCCCGGCGCGCGCCCACCCAACTAGTCAGGGACATCCGGCCGCCCTTGCAGACGAGCCCGCAGGGCCGCGCGCCACTCGGCGTCACGGCCGCCAGCGGGCTCCGCAAGCAGCAGGAGCAGCATGGCGGCCCGCGGCGGCAACGCGGGAGCGCAGCCGCCGCAGGGCCGGCTCGCGAGCCGCCGCCAGCACGGCGCCCAGCACCCGCATTTCAGGCAAGCGACCCACGCCGGGCCCTGCGACGCCACATGCGGTTGCCAGGCGTGCACTTCAAACAACGCCCTCGCCGCGGCCGCCTGCCGAGGGCGGGGGTGCTCGGGGGGCGCGGCAACCGCTGGCGGCCCAGGCCGCGCCAGATCCCGCGGCGCTGCGGCGGCGGCGACTGCTGCCGCATCCCCCTTTCGCGGCGCCCGTCTGCGGCGGTAGCCTGGCGCCACCCAGCGGCGCCGGACTCTGGGCCCAGCTGGGCCAGCGCGGTCGTGGTTGGCCTTCAGGGCTGCCAGCTCCACGGCGGCCGCCGCGCGCTGGGCCGCCGCGAGCGCCTCCAACTGCCGCGCGCGCTGCTGGAGGAACGCCAGCGGTGGGGGCCGGGCCGTTGCACCAGCGCCAGCCAAAGAGTTCGCCGCGTCGTTCCCGGGCCAGTCCTCCGCCGAGACGCCCCGATCGGCAGCCTCCGCCTGGGTTGTGTGAGTTGCCACCCAGCGAGCCCGCAGCAGCCCGGAGCGGCAGAGCGGCGCGATCGCCTCACACAAATCAGCATGATGCCGAGTCATCGGGTTCACGCCGTCGCGCAGCGCGACCACCCCACGCGCGACGAATCGCGAGTCGGTGACGACGTCCACTGGCGCCCGGCCACGCTGCGCGCGCGCGCGGGGCAGCCCAAAGCTCCGCGCGCTGCGCCCCGGCGGCCGTCCACAGGGCCGCGCTGTCGAGGCGCCCGACGGGGGGGCCTTCGAAGCGCGCGCCCCAGCCCGCTCGAGCGAGCAGCGGGTCGGCTGGGTGCAGGCAAGAACCGTCAGTCCAAGCGCGGACCCTCCCCTGCGGCAGCTCTGGCGTGGCGGGGTCTGGCAGCGGCGGCAGCTGGAGCGCCTGCTGGGCGTCGCTCGCCAGGGCCTCCAGGTGGGCGTCCAGAGGCTGCGCCGCGGTGCGCGCGACCTCGGTTGGCAGGCAAGCGCGGGCGGCCGCCAGGGTGAAGCCGCTGCGCGCCAACGCCGCGGCGCGGGTGGTCTCCCACCGCGGGCAGAGCCACAGTCGGTGCTCGAGGTCCTCCACCACGGCGCCGCAATGAAGGCGCGCTGGCGGCCGCTCCCATGTTGCCGCCACGGACTCCGTGATCACATTGCCTGAGATCACCGAGCGCGCCGGCGGCGTCAGGTGCCAGCTTCCCGGACTCCAGGAGCTGGCGCGTCGCCCAGCGGTCGACCCCCCTGCCAGACTTTGGAAATCGGCCTGGCGCCGCGGGACCTCGCGGGCCTCTCGCTGCCCCCCAGGCTTCCAACAACGCCGCGCGCGCGGGCTGCTGGGCGCCAGCCGTCTGCGGCGGCGGGGGCGCCCATCCAGGCTTCGACGCCCGCGCCCAGGTGCAGCTCAGCCATGCTGCGGATCGCGGCGGCGATCGGGCCGAAGCGCCAGCCGTGCCCAGCAGCCATGGCGTCCGCGGCCTCCCTCCAAAAATCGCCAGGGAACGCCGGCGTCGGAGGGTCTTCCCTGTGACTCATTACTCCTTAAAATAAAGCTCGCGTATGTAAGTATATGCAAGTCTTAAAATAAGGCTCATTGTCGTATATTGTGTGTAAACGCACGCGTGTGTCAGAATTCATTGAAAAAACGTTAGCTGCGCGAGGGTTGAGATCAAGTTTTCGGGGGCGCCCGAATACCCATCAGTGTTTTTAGTGTAACGCTATCGCGACCACCGCATCCACCACCGTTATCACTGCACGCTCCACCTCCACGATCACCTCCACCATATCCCCCAGCTCTCCTCACCGTTCGTTTGAATGCATTCGGCATTGAATGCCACATTGCGCCACCACCGCCACCTCAAACAAAAATTGACACCGTCAAACATAACGAGCGCTGCAGGGCCTGTCGGTTTCGAACAGCAGGTTGGCTACCGCTGACGCGGCCCGTATTCCATAGCTGTTTTGACTCAATATAGGTTTGCTGCACAGACACCTGGAGCGAGATGGCGTCTCAGCGCCCGCGCTATGATGGTGATGGCTTAGAGGAGGCAATCAGGAAGCAGTGCATCAAACACGGAGCTAGCTTTCTCAAGTATTCGGAGACACCGAAAGCGACCAAGGCTGAATTCAGCAGGGAGGCGATGACGCGCAGCAAGGATTTCCTCATCGACATGCGAGGGTTGTCTCCCAACTTGGCGTTCAAGAAATCAGATATCAACAGTACTCAAGAAGATAATCATGGCAATGACTGACCCTAAGAAGCCAGCGTGGAAGATGTCACAGTCCGAGAAGGATGACTGGATCGAAACGATGACCAACCGAACGTACAACCTCATATGCCACGCTGGCAAGGCCGCAAGGGACAACAGGACGTGGATCATCGAGCTATTGGGCGACGCGCCCGACCTGGGCGACGACGCCGAGGACGAGGACGCCGCACATGGCGAGGGAGACTACGACGAAGAAGGCGGAGAGGAGGAGACCCCAAAGGTGTCGGACGAATTGGTCGATCCAGACTCTGCGACGGCAGCTCCGAGCGCGACCGATCGGGACAGCCAGTGGGAGCACTCGTGGTCCAGCGAGCTCATGCTCGGCAACAGGGTGTCGCTCCCGATCCACATCGACGAGGGCACCAATCCAGAGGAGCTGGTCGAGGCAAGATGGAGAGATGGCACAACGCACAGGTTCCGCATCTCAGTGGCGGAGTTCACCATCGGCAAGTCTGGCAGCCGCGCTCGCAGTATTGAGACGTTGTGGACTGGCGAGCACTCGGCGACGCACAACGTGTTAACTTTGCAGCAGCGCACCGATCGCATGCAGCTCCCTTCGCTGTACGACCAGGGTGCGCAAATATTGCAGGTACCGCTGTACAAATTCGGGGAGTTGCCGATGCCCCAGCCTGGTCAAGTTCCCAATGATGATCCGACCTTACGGAAAGCGGTTGACTTCATGCTGCCGTTCTGCAAGATGTGGGAGTCCGACAAGGTGCAGGACAAGAAGGAGTTGAAGAGGCTGAAGGACGAGGCTGAGAAGGGCCAGCAGCTACCTCAGCAGTGCCCTCCAGCACACAGGAACGTCAAGGGCGCCAAGGACGTGCTGAAACGCCCAGCTGCCGCGCCCGCGGCGCTGAAGCGCCCAGCTGGCGCCGCCGATGCACCACTGGCCTCGGGGGGCGAGTCGGTCGCCGCGGGCGGCGGCGGCGCTGTCCAGGAGAAAGTGGATATCGCCGAGCCCGCGGCGAAGAAGGCGAAGGCAAAGGCAACCCCCAAGGCTACAGCGGCCAAGTCGGGGTCGATGGCGGTGGCGGCCAGCAGCCCAGTGATACTG